CATGCAGTTTGGTCTCATGTCTTGTTCTGTAATGCTTTGGCTAATGGAGCTCTGTAGATTTCCTTACGCTCTGCATATAGTAGGTGAGTTAACTCATGAAATATCAGCCGAAATTACAATTTGGTTTTTGTTTAGAAGAAATTAATTACATAGTGTTGCAAAACTAATCGTCCTGCAGCATAATTCCATAAGATTTAAAACACTCCAGGATGCCGGCTTACGACCGAAATATTTTTCGGCTGCATGCAACAATTGCACTCTGTAAAATCGCATTTGTCTCACTGATTTTTGATGCTGTTAAATATTCAATTATATGCATTGGAAAGCGTGCATGAAAATATTATCACATTCATTCAGTTAGTAAACAATTACGTTTTCTTCTAATGTTATGCTCGAAGGCAGGGTATTGTTCGGTGTTAGAAAGTTTCTAATTGTAAGATTTTTGTAATATCGTGAAATGACCGCTCATGAAACTTCATGTCTCTGCATCTACCAATGTGGTTTATAAAGTTAACAATATGGACAAAATCCACTGCTACATTTCATGAACGCCATATGGTTTCCTCTTAATGCCGTGGAGAAATCTGCGGTTTCCCATACGCAAAAAATGTATGGTTTGTAGATTGGAAACCCTAAATGCAAGTGCAACGGAAGGTCGGATTTAAAATTATTCGCGAATAGAGAGTCTTTGAAATCCAAATTATTCCTTTCCTTCTAGTATAAAATTTGAAGCAGGCGTATGTTTTTACGGCATATGTAAACGAATGAATACTCCTATGCATGTTTTTCATAATTAATACATTGAATTGTTAGGGGCATCGGAAATCAATGAGAAAAGTGCATGCAGCGCAAGTAGTCATTTATACAGTGTGGTTTTTGCACGCAGCCGAAATGAAGTTTATTTGAACGCTGGCATAATAAGGTAGCTGAATTATAATATAATTAGGCTGCAAGATGATTAGTTGTACAGGCCTACACAAATAATATTTCCGAATCAAAAGCGGATTTCGGAATTTCGGTTGAGGTTTCATGAGTTGGCCCACTTACTGTACCTGTGTCCAACCGGGCAGTAATCCCACCAATGTGTTTTTATATACAGTGGGGGTTTTCTTTTCCCTAATTAACGTGATTGGCGTAGCTGTATATGCTCTTTTCTGCAATGAGGGTCGGATTTTTTTGGAACGACTAGGATAAGCTGAACCATGAAGTACTATAACCCGAACTCCCTGATGAACACACAGATGACATCCATTCCCTCCTCGTCGACAGGTGTCAGTCAACTTGTAGGTTAAAATCTAAGCATCAGTCCTGAAGTAGACAAACTCATTGGCGTTCCTGCGATGACATCACTTCTGGCATCCGGTGGAAACCTTAAATGCTGGCTGGTCAGCTGGGGCATAAAAGCACTCATCAACGCTAAGCCGCCAACGGACGAGTCGCGGGGAACAACTTTAAAATTAAAAAATGTCGCCAAAGGTCTGTCGGCTAGAAAAAATTACGTATAGGGATACCGCATTGGGGAAACTAACTGATGGGCAGAGACATGAGTGTCCGACCACCGGGTAATGATGCGCTCATCGTGCTGTAATTCAGGAGTGATAATAGACCTCCTCAGGGCTGACCACGATTATAATTTCGACTCGTTCGATATTTTGCGCCTACGTAGTGGCCGAGCATGTTGCGTATGCCAAAGACTGAATACCGGGGAACATCTTGAATGGATTCCAACGAAAAGTAACTGTCAAGGATGGCTGGACTGGTTGTCACGAAGACACGGATATGTAGAATAAAAAAGAATTACGTATGTGAAGGTTATGTTAACGACAGGAGAAAGCTGAGATTGATTAGGACTGTAAAAAGTGCAAGATAATATTGCTTACTACAATATACGGCAATTCTACAGGGTGGAATAGTGACCCTGACATGTCAGTTAGACGACCGATGGAAAGTGCAGCGCTTTCGGCAACTATGGAGGAAGAGCCGATAGAGGCGCTTACTAGCAAAGATGGAGAGAGCGTTTTCGTGACCGTTAAGGAGGAGGTGACAGCGATTGCCGGGGAAAGGGTACAGGCCATCTTCACCAATACGCGGTTACACCTTTCCCATTCCCGACCCCTCCAAAAAGTAAATTAAATTCCTGCGTACAACCCTGTCAATGCCGTGGGGCGTTGCACCTGGTCGATAGCAGGGCCGCGGGACTGCTGTAAATGCCATGGCTGTCGGTAGAGAACCAAATCCAACCACTAAGTTTGCGAATATGTGGTCAGCCGCCAACTTCACCTTGGATTCGGACTGGGTGTGGACTGGAGAGCAGCCCCTATTTACCAGGGATAAAAGACAACCACATGGAAAAAACGCGCTGTTACGATGGAGGGTATCGCATGACGTCAAACATGTAGTTCACCTTCCCTCCCTTCCCCTTGCAAAAAGCCAGCGACGGCGCGAGGCCTGTTGACGCATGCTGGTACGAGAAACCAGATGCCCACTTTAATATCAGTATCTAATCACGAACGAACACACGTGTTGTTCGAAAATTCAAGTTAAAAATAAACAGGAAATTCCACGTATTTGCTGATACGCGGGCGCGAAGGCGTCGAAACGTACCATCAAATCTGCTAGCAACGCATATACGAGGGTGTAAACCACTCTGCCAGTATGTGATACGTCTTACCTGACTTGCACGAATTACTCATTTTGATAATTCTGTGTTATTGCACGGCCCCTTCCGTCTTAAAAATCTTGCATGGTCTTTCGTTAGCAAAAAGAGAGTTTTGAGTCTTTGTTGGCGGCGAACGTTTGTCTATTATATTGTGCAGAATATCCAGCTGAAGCCCTTCCTTCTAGTTGTTAGGTGTAATCAATCTATGGGAATTTTTAATACACAATTCATGAAATTCAATAACCCATTTCTACAGGTTGGATGGTAAAGTGTCACTATAAACAAGGCAATTAAATTACGACACCGCGTTCTGCATATGACATTGATGAGTTTTGTTAATCAGCTGCTTAGGATTGCAGGGCTGCAGTGGTTGAGAGAAGACTCATATGCTTCCCACTTTTCCTATGAGGTCTTTTGGTTGGGTCAGTAATCCAATTAACGTTTGAACGCGTAGACAGGCAGACGGAAGTTTGTATTGAATGATGTAACTGTGTGCATGTAGGAGAACCAATGGTAGAAATCACACAATAAATGAAAGCCTACGGGTCGGGTATCGATATCCATGTGTCAGTTACCTTCGATTGACATAGAGTTTGTTCTTTAAATGCAAAAATGAGAATGCGAGTACAGTGCTAGAAGACAGGGGCGCGGACATCTAAGTCATAGGATATTTACAGCTGTTATAAACTGACCCTACGTTTCTGTCTTTGCGTTCGAACCGTACGGACAATAAACTGATACTTAACATTTTATGCGTCAACTAATGCATAAAATTTTTAAAATGTTCACGGCTAGAACATTCATAGTCAATAAACTTGATTGGTTCCAACCGCAACTGAGAGTGCAGGACGCATCCTCTCATCGTTTTTTAAGTTATAGACAAATGTCTACTTTTATTTATTAAGTAGTAAGCCTATGCGAAATATTTGGCTATCCACTCCGTACTCACAGCCGTCGCTCCCCAGTAATTGGTAACTATTATCTCTTTTCCGAACAGAAAATCCTTTAAAGCACCACACAGCGCCGAGACAAATTGTATGACTTTGCTTGAATGACAGAAAATATATTTTCTGCCGTATTCAGTCATTTCTAAAGCTTGCTGACACGATGATATAACTGCTCAGTCCGTGTAAAGCTTGCAGATTAAGACCTCTTTTGCTGAGTTCAAAGTAGTTTATATTCCATCTGGTATATCTTGACACCGGGCCCAGGTAGGCAGGAGGAAGGCGTGCGATAGATGTTGTGTAAGTCTACTCTACCTGACAGTTCGACCGTCGATTTCGACGATGTCCACCGTGTGCCCCACAGCTGCAGCAGCGGTAGGAGCAGGGACGGTGACTTACGCAGGGGTTTATAGTGCCAGTAGACTTGCGTAACATCTACCTACACTCTCTCCTCCTCCCCCGCCTGGGCCCGGTGTCAAGACAGAGTCAAGAAGACCGGAGACGAGGGAGGCCGCAGGTGGATGGCTCGGACGGATCCTCTCCTTGGCGTTCCACCACACCCCCTGGTCCACACAACAATAACCAGGATTTGAACAAACACAACATAGATTTGGAGGCTGGCACGGCCGAAGCCGCACCTGGGCGTGCCGCCAACGCCTGGCTCGGATCCCACACTGTGGTGGGAATGCCATAAAGGCCACATTAAAAAGGAGCCATTGCAGCCTGACTCTCGGACCGCCTCCAGTAATGGAGGAGGTCGAAGGTACCCCGTCAGTTGGCAACCTTCCAAGCCACGGCTTTTAGCGCACCGTGATAGCTTCAAGCGCGTCAGATTGTTTATAGTGAGGAAAATGCGCTGAGTCGTCGACCTCACGCTCCCTTCCCATTCCCACACCCCAGCCACTGTCCGAGCCAGTCAGTAGACTGGAGTGGGGAATGGGCGCGGTGGCTGACATGGTCGACTGACCATGCCTGCGCGCGCCACAGCACGACCTGGCCCCCCATACACACAAACACCAGGATTTCGTACAACGGGGGTTGAACGGCGTGACTCTCACATGCGTGAGAGGGCCGTGGAAGGTGCTGCTTCAGCCCGTCCCCAGCCCACCAGTCCGCCACTACACAACACACACACACACAACGTGACGAACTGCGTGAACCAAGAACGGGCGTCAATCAGCAACCTTCCTATCCACGACACTTGACGTGTCGGGATAGTCTCGGACTCAAGTCACTCGTGCAGCCGAGGCCGCATGGGGACCGAGTCGAGATGCACACTTCCCACTTGCCTGGGAGGTGGCAGTTGAGTGCATGAGGTGTGTGAGGGTTGATGTCTGGTGGGGTGATGGTGTTAGGAGGTAGGGACTGAGGGAATGTGTGGTGTGGCCGGCGGTTGTCTACCGCAGGTCGTTGTGGATGCGCATGTGGCCGACTAGACCCATGCGATGCGTGAAGGTGCGAGGGCAGTGTGGGCAGTGAAGGCGAGTGCGGTGGGTGTAGGTTGGTGCTCCAGGCACTGGTTCGCCAGTCTCTGTGCGATGGATTCGCAAGTGACCGACCAGGCCGATGCGTGAAGTGAAGGTGCGTGGACAATGTGGGCATGAGAGGTCGGCGGTGTCGGTGTCAGCTGTAGAGGAAGCAGTGGTGTTGGTGGTGGCGGTGGTGGTGGTCGGCGCGTGTGACGGTGGGGCGAGGATGGGTCTGGGCGTGTTGGATGTCGTGGCTGTATCGGAATTGCGGTCAATGCCGCTCTCGTGGATGCGCATGTGGCCGAATAGACCCATGCGATGCGTGAAGGTGCGAGGGCAGTGTGGGCAGTGGAGGCGAGTGCGGTGAGTGTAGGTTGGTGCTCCAGGCACTGGTTCGCCAGACTCTGTGCGATGGATTCGCAAGTGACCGACCAGGCCGATGCGTGAAGTGAAGGTGCGATCGCAGTGAGGGCAGATGTAGTGCGGGCCCTCACATCTGTTGATGGAGGTTGCAGGGGTTGTGCCTGTTGTTGTGTCAGGTGCGGCTGTGGTGAAGTCGTGCGCTACAGACGCCGGAGTGGCCGTCGTTGGGGCAGTGAAGGAGGAAGTGGAGGAGGAAGGGGGGGAGTGAGGGGTGGTAAGGTCGGTGGCGTCGATGTCGGCTGGGGAGTGGTTAGTGGGTGCACAAGGTGATGGATTGGGAGTGGGGCTCGGCGGGGTGGGTGTGTCAAGGCTGCGGCCAATTCCGCTCTCGTGGATGCGCATGTGGCCGAATAGGCCCATGCGATGCCGGAAGGTGCGAGGGCATTGTGGGCAGTGGAGGCGAGTGCGGTGGGTGTAGGTTGGTGCTCCAGGCACTGGTTCACCAGTCTCTGTGCGATGGATTCGCAAGTGACCGACCAGGCCGATGCGAGAGGTGAAGGTGCGGTCGCAGTGAGGGCAGGTGGGGGTGGTTGCGGTTGCTGTGTCGTGGTTGGCGATGTGTGAGACGGCAGCCTGAACGGCCACCACTGGGGCAGTGGAGGAGAAGGAGGAGGATGGAAGTGGTGGTGCAGAAGGGGTGTCAGAGTTAGTTGGCGGAAGAGAGGACGAGGAAGAGGCGGGTGCTGGGACGATGGCTGGAGCAGTTCGAGAGGTGCAGTTGGTTCGAAGATGTCCAACAAGTCCGATTCGTGCCCGGAATGTCCGGTGACATCGAGGAAACGTAGGGGGAGGTTGTGCGGCGGCGTTGCGTATTGGGCGAAGTTGTGATTTGCGGACTTCGCGTTTCACTTTGGCGGCGGCGATGCGGTTGGCTTCGTAGATAGCAGCGCCCGTCTTCACTGTTCTCCTCCATGTCGGACGATCGCGGGCGAGGTCTTCCCACTTGGTCGGGTCGATGTGCAGCCGCTTCAGGGAGAAATTCAGAGTATCTTTGTAACGGCGAATTTGGCCTCCTTGACGACGAGAACCCGTTGCGACGTCTCCGTAGAAGAGTCGTTTGGGTAGTCGCTCGTCGTCCATGCGCACCAGATGGCCGCTCCAGCGCAGCTGCATTTGTCTCAACATGGAGTAGATGCTCAGAATTCCCGTCCGTTCAAGCACTTCGGTGTCGGGGATGCGGTCCTGCCAGTTCAGCCTCAGGATGCGGCGGAGACAGCTGAGGTGGAAGTGGTTTAGTCGATGTGCCTGCCTCGTGTGCACCGTCCAGGTCTCCGCTCCGTACAGTAGCGTCGGCAGGATGACGGCCTTATACATCTTCAGCTTTGTGCTCAGTTGGAGACCATGACGATTCCAAACTGTGCTTTGGATGCGACCGAAGGCTTGACTGGCTTTCGAGATCCTGTTGGCGACTTCGTCGTCGATCTTGGTGTTGCGGGAGAGCGTGCTGCCCAGGTACGGGAAGTTCTCTACCACTTGCAGTTGAGTCCCATTCACGTTGATTTGCGGCGCGTTGGGGGCTGTGGCTGAGCTGGGAGGCGGCTGATGCATCACCACCGTCTTCTGCGTGTTGATAACCAGCCCAAAGTGCTCGCAGGCGGCGGAGATTAGGTCCATGCTCCGTTGCATCTCCACTTCTGAGGTGGTGTTCAGGGCGCAGTCGTCGGCGAAGAGGAGTTCGTGCACGGTGGCTGTGGATACACGCGATTGGAAGTTCATGCGCCGGCGATTCAGGAGATGACCGTCCGTTCTATAGGCGATGCGGATTCCAGGGCGTTTGTCGCGGTAGGCGTCCATCAGCATGGCAGAGAACATGAGACTGAAGAGGGTAGGCGCCAGCACACAGCCCTGCTTCACTCCGTTGGTCACTGCGAATGCCTCTGAGACAGCTCCGTTATCCGTGACTCGCGCCATCATACCGTCGTGCAGCTGACGCACCATCTGAGTGAATCGCTCCGGACAGCCGAATTTCCGCATAATCCTCCACAGTCCTTCACGATTCACCGTGTCGAAGGCTTTCGTCAGGTCCACGAAGGTAGAGTACAGGTGGGTCCGCATCTCCTGGCACTTCTCCTGAAGTTGGCGGGCTGCGAAGATCATATCCGTGGTCCCACGATGACGACGGAAGCCGCATTGGCTTTCCGGCAGAAGGCCCTGTTCCAGATGGTTGTTGAGGCGGTTGAGCAGGATGCGAGCGAAGATCTTCCCGGCGATGTTCAGTAGGGAGATGCCGCGGTGGTTGTCGCAGACTTGGCGATTCCCTTTGCACTTGTATAGGTGCACGATAGTTGCGTCCTTGAAATCTTGCGGGATTTCACCTTGACGCCGCATCTCCTGGAAAAGCGCAGTCAGGTGATCCATCAGTAGGGGACCTCCGTGCTTGTAGACCTCAGCAGGGATTGCGTCCGATCCGGGTGCTTTCCCGCTGGAGAGCTGCTGCACGGCCCTGATCGTTTCCTGGAGAGACGGCGGGAGGTCGAGGTCCGCGTTGGTCGCTACTTGCGGCAAGCGGGCGATGGCGGCTTCGGAGATGACGGAAGGGCGGTTGAGGACGCCTCGGAGATGCTCAGCCCATCGCTGCAGGATTTGCGTCTTCTCAGTCAGGAGAGTGCTGCCGTCGGCGCTGAGGAGAGGAGCAGTGCCCTTCGTCGGCGGACCGTAGACAGCTTTGATAGCGGAGAAGAAGTTCTTCCATTCGTTGCGATCCGCGTAGCCTTGGATCTCCTCAGCTTTGCGAGCAGTCCAGGCGTCCTGCATCTCGCGCAGTCGTTGCTGAAGCTGGCGGCGACTGCGGTAGAAGGCAACTTTGTTGCCCTCAGTTGGCTGCTCTACGTAGGCTTTGTGTAGGCGGTTCTTCTCGGAAAGCAGATTTCTGATGGCAGCGTCGTTGCCGTCGAACCAGTCCTGGTGTTGGCGGGGAGCGCGACCGAGGACGGCGAGCGCCGTCGACTGGACTGTGTCACGCAGTTGACACCAGCGGTTCTCCACGGAGGCGTTCTCGGCAGCGGCGGCGGCGGCGGCGGCGTCGTCGTCGTCGGCGGCGGCAGCGATAGGAAGATTGTCTAGCCGTTGAGCTAGCTCATTGCTGAAATGGAGACGGTGAGCAGGCAAAGACAACAAAGGAACATTCAGCTTACCTGGGGGTCGCTTACCTTGTGGTCTCCTGCGAGGCTGTAGGCGAATACGCATCTTCGAGATGACGAGGCGATGGTCGGTCCACCCGTCAGCACCCGCGATCGCCTTCGTCACCAGCACGTCCCGCTGATCTCGCCTCCGGACGAGGACATAGTCCAGCAGGTGCCACTGACGCGACCGAGGATGCCTCCAGGTGGCCTTCTCTCGCTCCGGCAGACAGAAGAACGTGTTCGTCAGGATGAGGCGGTGTTCTGCGCAGGTGCGGAGGAGAAGCAGGCCGTTGTCGTTGGAGCCGCGGAGACCGTGAGGACCCAGCACTCCCCTCCAGGCAGTATGGTCTGTGCCGACGCGGGCGTTGAAGTC